CAGGGCTGATGGCTCAGGAAACTCTTGGTCTACCCTGGAATTATTGCAGCAATGTGTTTGCGACTGAATGACAGAAATAACGCTTCCCAAGTCTTTTTCTATCCATTTTCCTGTTGGTCACAGTATTCCACAAAGCCAGTGGCACACACTCTGTGTTTTTTAAATGGCAGCATCTCTTTTCAATGAACCAATTTTTAGGCTATTCAAAATAAATACAATTAGTTTCAGGAACACTCCTAAGTCTGAGAAGCGGCATAGCATACTTGATACTGATTGGAGAGTTTGCTCCACGGCGTGATGCAGGTTTCAGGATTATCCCATCTCATGATACCCCCTCAGTGGGTGGCTTCTGTGGGGGCTGTGGAAGAGGCAGAGAAAGTCAGAGGGTGTTATACCTAGACCTGGAAGTATTGTGCATTAAAATGCCTCCATCTCTATTCCAAGCACCAGAATCCGGCAGCACAACTCCAAGTGTTTGCAAGTGACACTGGAAAGTGCCTTCCTTTGAGTCTGAAGGGAAGAAAATTGAATCTTCACATTTGTTTAATATGTGAATGAAATGCTTATTATCCGTGGGTTACTGGTATGCTTAAGACTTTTACTGTCCAACATTTCCTGCAGTATTTGGTTGGAGGAGACACCCAAGGAGAACCAATATACACTATCAGGTACCCACTGTGTTCTGATAACTTTTACAACCACAAGCCTTGTTCATCATCCACTGGTGACTTCCTCCATGGAGATCAGACCTGCTTTTAGTCTAGTCTAGAAAGAAAGCATCTCATTAAAGAAAAACATAGATCAGTGCTGGCTTAGCACACACGAAGTTCCGGGTCCATCCCAGCACCACATAAAAGCAGGGGCAGTGGCCCTGTGATCCCAGGGCAGATAGGGGAATCGAGAATTCAGACTTCCTTGGATAAATAGTGGGTCTGAAACAAGCCCAGCTACATGAGACCCAGAGAGGGAGGGGGAGGGAGAAAAAGAAGAGAGAAGGGGAAAGAGTTCGGAAAAGAGAGCCAGAGGGGAGAATGGAGGGAGAGAAAAGACATTTAAGACAAATTGGCTCCAAGTCAGTTTCTAGCCAAACAAATACCATGGCTTCTCTCTAGCCTGTTTCCTCAAAGTGAAGTTTTTATATTAATTCTGAGATTAATTAAAGAAGTGGTATATTAATTATAGATGGATATTCAGCATCTGCCAAAATGATTGTTTACCAATTATTGCATGATCTGTGAAGAATTTCTTTGTCATAAAATAAACTGGGCAAAGACTGTGGAGAACAGTTATGTAGCACAAATCTTAAATGGTCTTATTAATAAAAACAATCCTGGAGCCAGGTATTGGGGTGAATGCTGAAAGATCAGAGAAACAGAACAAGCCACAGCCAATCTCACCTCACCAATTTCTCAGCTGATCCTGTTTCCTCAAACTGGAAGCCTCTGTGCCCTCATCCAAATGGATCTCAGCTGAACTGCTGCTAAAAGCCTAAAAGCTTAACCAGGCTCTAGTTCCTGGTTTTCATGCCTTATATACCTTTCTGCTTCCTGCCATCACTTCCTGGGATTAAAGGCGTGAGTCACCATGCCTGGCTGTTTCCAGTGTGGCTTTGAACTCAGAGATCCGAATGGATCTCTGCCTCCTGAATGCTAGGATTAAAGGTGTGTATGCCACCATTTTCTGGCCTTTATATCTGGTGGTTGTTCTGTTCTCTGACCCCAGATAAGTTTATTAGGGTGCACAATCTATTGGGGAACACAGTACCACCACACAGTTAGCTGGGGCAAAGGTGATGACTGTGGGGAGTGTGGACACAAGGGCACTGCTTGCCCCCTCTGCTCACTCGGGCATGCATAGGAGCCAGAGGATGACTGGCCCCAGCCTAGCAGAGGACACTCCCTAGTGTGTGCTGACTGCCTGGCCCCAGCCCAGCAGAGGACACTGCCTAGTGTGTGCTGACTGCCTGGCCCCAGCCCAGCAGAGGACACTCCCTAGTGTGTGCTGAATGCCTGGCCCCAGCCCAGCAGAAGACACTCCCTAGTGTGTGCTGACTGCCTGGCCCCAGCCCAGCAGAGGACACTCCCTAATGTGTGCTGACTGCCTGGCCACAGCCCAGCAGAGGACACTCCCTAGTGTGTGCTGACTGCCTGGCCACAGCCCAGCAGAGGACACTCCCTAGTGTGTGCTGACTGCCTGGCCACAGCCCCAGCAGAGGTTCTAATGTTAATTTCTAACCCTTCCACCTCACCTAAGGAAACCATGAATTTTCTTAGCCAAGTCCAATTAAAGTGTCATTGCCTAACACAGATAGATAGATAGATGATTGATAGATAGATAGATAGATAGATAGATAGATAGATAGATAGATAGATGATAGATATTGATATAGGTGTGTATGTGTTTGTGAGTGTGTGTGTGTGAGTGTGTGTGTGTGTGTGTGTGTGTATGTGTGTGTATGTGTGTGTGTACACGTCAGTGCAGTCTCCTTGGAGTCCAGAAGAACGGGGCATCATCCCCTGGAACTGGAGTTGCAGGCAGTTGGGTGCTGGGAGCCAAACCCTGGTCTTCTGCAAACCACTGCTCTCTTAACCACTGAGCCATCTGTCCAGCCTGCCATTTGCTCTTTTAATAATAATCATTCTGACTAGGGTGTGATACCTGATTTTTTGCTCAGTTGCCAATAAGCACGTCCCTGTGTCCCTCACTGTCCCCAAGGCTCTGCAGTGTGGTGGGTGGCTGCTATCTAGCGTCAGGACCTTATCTCTCCTGTCCATTTTCATCTGTCCAAAACTAACTGTGAATGAAGACTTCCATTTAGGAAAGTCTGCATTCCCTGACACCTTCCACAAAGGGTTCCAGTGAATGACTGCAGTTCCGTTTTCTCTGTTTGCCAGCTGCATCTGTCCAGTTCAGGCCTGGTCCTTTACTCTCTGTCTCCACTATGAAGAGTCCCTTTCAGATCAGGCCTGATGCTGGCATGGCTGCTCCTCCCACAGACAAGCCGACCGACACAGCATGGACGTTGCACCTGCTCTCTCAGGGTTTGTCTTGTGTGTGGGTGATGGAATGGCTGCCGTATTTTCTGTTCAGCACCACATCCTAGCACCTAGACCTGAGGGTGTCCCCTAGTAGGTGCTCCATCCACACATGTTGACTGACTCACCGACAGTGGAGCCTGTGTATGTCTTTCTGGAGAGCTAGAGGACCACACAAACGTGTTTTCAAATGTTTATGCATCTTTGTGCATAGTACTTTTGCCCTGTTATGGACCTCAGCCTATTTGGGTCTATACTTAAGACTCTCTGTATGTGTGTGTACGTGTGTGCATGTGTGTGTTCATGTCTATGCGTTCATGTGTGGACAACTATACATATATGTGTGTTTGTGAAGGTCAGAGGTCAACATCACATGCTGCCTCAATCACTATCCACATTACTATTTTTTTCCTTTTATCAAAAATAGATTTTTTTCCTCACATAATATATCCTGATTACAATTTCCCCTCTCTCTACTCTTCCCAGTTGTTCCCCACTTCTCCCCTCATCCAGATCCATTCCAATACGAACAGGTTTCTAAGGGATAATAATAAAACATAACAAAATAAAATATAAGATAAAACAAAAACTATCATGTCAGAGTTGGACAAGACAAACAGAAGGAAAAGAGCCCAAAAGAAGGCACCAGAATCAGAGACCCCCTCGTTCTCACTCACAGGAATCCTATAAATACACTAAACTGGAGGCGATAACACACACAGAGGACCTGGTGCAGACCTGTGCCGGCTGGGCTTGCTGCTGCCTCAGTCTCTGTGAGTTCATATGAACTCTGGCCATGTTGAACTAGAGGGCCTTGTTTTCTTGGTGTCCTCCATCCCTTCTGGCTCTTACACTCTCTCTGCCTCCTCTTCTGCAGGGTTCCCTGAGCTCTGAGGGGAGGAATTTAATAGAGACTGACTGTTCCAAGGTCTCTCACTCTCTGCATGATGTCTGTCTGTGGGTCTCTGTATTTGTTTCCATCTGCTGCAGGCTGCAGGAGGAAGCGTCTTTGATGGTGGCTGAGCAAGGCACTGATCTATGGGTATAGCAGATCCGCATTACTCTTTTATCCGACTGGACCTGGAGTTCACCAATTCGGCTAGGCTGCCTGGCCAGCAAACCACAGGGACCCTCCTTCCTGCCTTTGCCTCCCCAGTCCTGGTACTGGAAGTGTTCACCACTGCCTCCAGTTTTTATATGGGTGGTGGGGATTGACTCCTTTACAGCAAGCACTTTACCATCAAAGCCATGACCCCATCCCCTACAATGAAAAGTTTGAGTCTTCATCTTCTATCAGTCCCTAACCACTAATTCCATAGGAGAAGGAGCCCACCCACCTTTCTCCACATACCCCACAGACCAGTTCAGCACCATGCCAAGCATGACTGGACTTCAGTAAGACAAAGAGGTTGGTTGGCCCATCCAATGAACGTGTGAATTCCGGATCCATGAAATCATACTTGGTATTTCAGAGCTGGTAGGGACAGCAGATGCTGTCATCTGCCCCAAGATACAAAATGTCCTAAAAGGTGGTGAACCAATGTGTGTCTGATGCAGTGGACTGTGCCCGAAGTGAAGGAGGCTAGTCCCTCTTTGGGTCAAGAGTAAGGTTGTTCTTATTGTGAGTCCCAGTCACAGCTAAGCTCATGTTAGAGAGCAAGCCCGTGTCCAGGAAGAGTCCAGTCTATGACTCCAAAACAGTAGACAAGACAGGCTGACCTCTCCGATGTGAGAGTTTTGCCAGTTGATGGAGTACATTCAACTTAGGGACAGCTGGAAGGGAATCACAGCTCTGAGTGATTTATAAAAGAAAGTCTTTGAAAGCGGCCTCTGGAGACCTCCCCCCCCCCCAAACTTGTAAGATGACTTGATGTTGTCCCGCACATTCGGTTTCCAGTCAAGACTTCAGTTAGAAGGGAGTGAGAAGAGCAAGCAGGACCTGAGATGGGGTTTGTTTTTCCACAGCTGCGGGTCTTCAAGCTGGCCAAATCCTGGCCCACCCTGAACACACTCATCAAGATCATTGGTAATTCTGTGGGGGCCCTGGGCAACCTGACCTTCATCCTGGCCATCATCGTCTTCATCTTTGCCCTGGTTGGAAAGCAGCTTCTCGGGGAGGACTATGGATGCCGCAAGGACGGCATGGCTCTGTGGGATGATGATGAGCAGCTCCGCTGGCACATGTGCGACTTCTTCCATTCCTTCCTCGTCATCTTCCGGATCCTCTGCGGAGAGTGGATTGAGAACATGTGGGTCTGCATGCAAGTCAGCGAGAAATCCATCTGCCTCGTCCTCTTCTTGACTGTGATGGTGCTGGGCAACCTGGTGGTGAGTAGTGAGCCCACAGAGGTCGAATTACAGGCTGGGGAAACACTCCCGTCAGGAAGTGTTTGCTGTATGATCATGAAGACCTAAGTTCAATCCCCAGAAACCACCCTAAAAAGAAAAGAAAAAAAAAAAAACCAACAGGCATGATGGCATGCTCTTGTCACCCCAGTGTTGGGGAGGCAGAGACAGATAGATCCCTGGCACTTGCTGACCAGCCAGCCTCCCCCTTTTAGTGAGTTCCAAGCAAGTGAGAGACCCTGTCCCCCAAACAAGTGGATTCCTCTGAGGAATGACAGCAGGGTTCCCTACTTTCAGGCATCCACAGGCACATCCTCACATTTATAGACATGCATACACTGTTGGATAGTTGGAGTGCCTCCAAACTTGTCCAAGTCACGTGGGACACATACTAAGACATGTGCTTCAGGGGGGCAGCCTGGCTTGCCAGGAACAAGCCTGTAGACAGAGCAGGAAAATCCCCCTCCAGCATTTTCTAGCTGAGTGACTCAGGACGAAAAAGTGACTTTCTCAAGCCCTAATTTGCTTTAAACCAAGAAAGCAGTGTTTACTCATGGGTGTACGGGCAGAATTAAATTACAGGGGTGACATATGCAGATTTCCTGGTGCCGTGTCTAGGAACTCAACGGATGGTGGCTATTGTCGAAGGAAAATTTCTCCCCTGGTCTGAGGTGCTCAAATGATTCTTCAAGAGAGTAAAGTGCTCTCCCCTTGGATCTGGAGGGAGAGACAGGCTGGATGGTTCCCAGGGGATCACACTATTACAGTCTGCGCCCAGGTTTGGGGGACATCCCTCTGGAGAACCAATTAGTCCCAGTACCCCTTCTCCACCCCAACTAAGCTCCTCAGCCCATCTCCACCCCCTCTACCTATGAGTGTCTGTGCAGCCATGGGCTCTGTGGAGGTGGGAGTGGGGAAGGTTGTGGCCTAAGCGTGCCTTTCTTATGCAAAAGGAACAGTGGACTCTAGAAGTTAACCCATCTTAAAGACACGAGACAGCTCAACTGAGAGGGTAAACACGTATTTCACTTGTCTGTTTCCCGTCCTGGTCCCTGGGGACACAAATGCCTTCTGCTAGTCCTTGGTGACAGGCCACCTGAGCTCACCATCCTCTGAAGGTCCCTTTGTCAGCATGACCCCGCACTGTGGTGAGGTATCTAAGCCTTGTTCTCTTGAGGCAGGGTACCCAAGACCTCCCCAAACTCTCCTCAGGGTGCCCAGGGTGTGCATTCTGCCGAGATGTGAGTCTTCCAGGTGAGCAGGGGCAGCCCAGGCCACAGGAGGCCTGAGTGATCAAGACTGCCAGTGAGGCGCTGGAGAGACTCTGTGGTGGGAATCACCTAGGATTCACCTCTGGGTGTGCCTGTGCAGGCATTTCCAGAGAGGTTTGACTGAGGAAGGAAGGGCCACCTGAGTGTGGGTGACACCATCTCACATGCTAGCATCCTGCCCTGAATAAAAGGACGAGCATCTCCCCTCTCTATTTCCTAACTGCTGATGCGAAGTGACGGATGTTTCCTCCCTTCCACACCTTCTCTTAGGTGCTCAACCTTTTCATCGCCTTGCTGCTGAACTCCTTCAGTGCTGACAATCTCACGGCCCCCGAGGATGATGGGGAGGTGAACAACTTGCAGGTAGCACTGGCCAGGATTCAGGCATTTGGCCAGCGGGCCAGTCAGGCCATTTCCAGTTACTTCAACAGCCACTGCCGGCTCCGCTGGCCGAAGGTGGAGCCCCCGCTCGGGGTGAAACCCTCCCTCACCAGCTCCAAAGCTGAGAACCACGTTGCTGCTGATGCCGTGAGCACCGTGGTGGGGAACTCGGCAAAACCAGCTCTCGGTGGCCCCAAGGAGGACCACAGGGACTTCATCACCGATGCTAATGTGTGGGTCTCTGTGCCCATTGCCGAGGGAGAATCTGATCTCGAGGAGCTCGAGGAAGACATTGAGCAGAATTCTCAGAGCTCTTGGTGGGAAGAGAGCCCCAAAGGACAGGTAAGAGTTCTCTTCAGTGGACAGACAGCTGCAGGCCTTGGCAGAGAGTGACTCTAGGTAGAAGAGAAATTTTGATATTGAGGCTGTTAGTTACTTTTCTCGTCACTGGGACAGCATACCTGATAAAGAGAATTTAAAGGGGGAAGAACTCATTTTGGCTCACAGCCTGAAGGTTCGGTCCATCATGGTGAGGACGACATAGTCACATTGGGTCACAGTTAGGCAACAGAGGTGAACACTGGTGCTCAGCTCACTTTCTCCTCCTTGTTCAGTACAGGACCCCAGTGTGCAGGGGCACTGCCCACATTCAGGGTAGGTCTTCCCTCCTCAAAGACACACCTAGAGGTGTGTTGCCATGGTGATTCTAAATCCAGCCAAGTGGGCGATGAAGATTAACCATCAGAGAGGTTTTCCAACATCAAGGTGACAGAGTTGTGAGCCCCTGGCAAGCCAGGCTTGGGCAACCCAGCCAAACAGAAACTGAAACCATGACCAGCACTCCAGGGGAGGCACCACTTCACCTCAGCAAGGCCTAGGAGAAAAGGTCAGCATCCCCAGGGAGACAAATGGGAGCAGGGGCAGCAGGTGAGCCCAGACCACTCCAAGGCCTTTGCCATCACATGTCTTTCACATGTGGCCCCTGCTCCAGTAGCCCAGGCTCTTACATGAGCTGCTAAGGGTATGCTCCAGAACCAGGGTGTTCTCAGAAAGCAGGTTCATCTCATCTCCTCCTGCATCAGGGAAAGACCTCCCCATCCTGGCACCTTTACAGAGTTTTTCCAGACAAGAGAAGTCAGGAGTAAACGTCATTCCCTTCAGAACCAAGGAGTTCAAGGCACCCTGAAGCCTTCGGATAATGCATGTTTCTCAAAACCTGGCACAGGTTCCTAGCGCCTTAAGCTGATACAGCAGCCCTCATTAACCTCAGTGACTCGGGGCATCCATTGTGTTCAACGAGGGGTGCAGGGATCCCTGAGCATCCCTGGGGACACGTGGGCTGCTGGCCAGGCCACTGAAGCCTGCGTCCTCAGCTCTCCCTCCCACAGCTGTCGTCTACACTCCAGCAGCTGCCGCTATCAACCATCATTTTCTAGATTCCTTTGTCTAAGTGACAGCTGAGGCCAGAGTGTCACCTCCCAGGAGTAAGGGACACAAACTCTTTCATGGTTGTCTGCCGCTCAGGCGCATGTTCAGTTAGTTTGGGGTCCTTGGGGTAAGAGTGTTCAGATGACCTTAGTTCATGACCAGCTTGACTTCTGGCAAAGTACTGATGGCCATGGTTATCATCTGTGGAACCAAATCTCCTGCAATGTGCTTTAAAAGCATTAATATATTTAGTGATCAAAAGAACAAAATGAAGTGAATCTCATCTTCTTGATTTTGCAGATGAAACAAAAAAAAAGGATCAGAAAAATTAAATAGATTTCCTAAGGTCATACAGCTGCAAATGGAGCCAGGCATTATATACAGACCTATAACCTCCAGGCTTACTTCACACACATGGATATATGCATGTAAGGTCCATGTATGAGGACCTTAGTTAGCTCTGGAGGCCTGTCAGCTGCAAAAGCCCTTCAGATTTGGAAATGATCAAGTAAAATTGACTCAGTTACCCATATGGACCCTCTCTTGCTAGCAGCAGGAACAGCTGCCGCAAGTCCAAAGGTGTGAAGACCACCAAGTACCTAATAGCCCAGGCTCTGGGATGTCCTCGGAGGACCTGGCTTCATACCTGGGAGAGGGACGGAAAAGTGAGGCCACCCCTCAGGTCCCTGCTGAGGTAGGTGTGCATGCTTCCTAGCAAGGTTCGACAGCTGGACGGATACTGTAAAGAGTGGTGTACTCTTGGAGGATGGGGGCTGGAGAACACAGCACCCCAGCCACAGGACCTCCTTTTAAGCCTCTGCCAACCCCTGGTTAATCACACGTTTAATTAATCACACGTCAATGCTACGCTGTTGAACCTCGCCCCCAGCTGGTTGTAAGGATGGGATGAAAAAGTGTGTGGCTCCCCAGGCTGTGGGACCTAGGGCCAGCTCCTGCTCCACAAGCCTGCGTCTTCATCTATAGAACTCATGGCAGTACCTATTTGGTAAGGTTATTTGGAAGCTTAAATGAGATGCCGCTCGTCAAATGTTCAGTTCCTGTCTGAAATGGAGTAAGTGCCCAGAAAATGACAGCCGAGAGAAAAGGGAACAAAAGGCAGGGAACAAAGAGTCAGGTAATCTCTCAGAGACAACCGTCAGAGTCGGAGGTGTTTCCTGGGCGAGAGAGTCTTCCTGGGGATGCTCCCCTCTCTCTTTTGTCCACATCATTCTCTCTAGCCAAAAACAGCCTGGGGTGGAGGGAGGCTGTCTACAGGTGCACGCTGAACTGACAGCCTCACAGAAACCAAGCAGGGAGAGCACTCAGCTGTGGGATGCTGGAGGAGGCAAAAATAAACCGTGGTGTCACTTACAAACCCTGGGGGAAAGTCTAGTGGAAAGAGATGCCTATTAAGATTCAGAGTCTGGGGCAAGAAGATGGTTCCGTCGGTAAAGCACTTGATGATGAGCATGCAGAGAACCTGGCTTTGTAGTCCCAGCACCCATGTAAAAAGCTGGGCATGCTAGTACACCCCTATAATTCCAGCACTGTGGAGGGGGAGGGGCAAACAGGAGGATCCCTGGTGCTTGGTGGCCCTCCAATCTAACCAAGTCGGTGAGCTCCACACTCAGTGGAAGAGCCTATCTCCGAGAGAGAGAGGCAGAGAGACAGAGAGCAACTGAGGAAGACATGTAACTTTAGCCTCAGGTTTCACCCTCACATGCATGTGAGTGCACACACACCCACACACACGGTCACACACACACACACGTACACAAGCATCAGCTATTTAGTGTTTTCACTGCCACTATAAGAAACTTCAGACTTTAACTTGACACCTCGCCCCCAAGTGCAGCTGTGTGACAGCCACTGGATGGGGCTAAGATAAGGCGAACACAATTCACCCCCACACACACTTATCGAGCTCTTCAGTGTGAGGAATGTCAGCTACTGGCTTTGAGCCCAGGCGAGGCTGACCGCGGCAGACTAAGATAAGACAGTGGACTGTGATGGGCTTTGGGGGCCCTGAACACAAGCCGTGTAGTCCCTGGTGGGTGAGGCTTGTCACATGCTGCGTGTGGGCATCACGTCCCTTCTAAGTTGCTCTATGGACCCCCTGGCTGGCTCTCCCTACTCTGCGCTTTCGGCACATAACTTCTGGGTGTAGGTTTTAATTCTGTTTTTGTTTTCTTGGCCATAACCCTGGCCAGGCAGGGAGGGGCCTGTCAGTGACAGATGGGGACCCACCCTACCATTTGGCTCCATTAGCCAAGTGATCAGGTTCACTAACATGAGAGCCGCTCTGGCTCCTAATTGAATTCGTCTGGAGACATTACAGGCCAGTGCCACTGGGAGGACAACAGGGCCCCACAACACAGCTCCCGATTAAATATTCAAGTGCATTGAAAGCTGAGCATCTTTATGGGTGTAATTACAGTGTCTCGGGCCATTGCCAGCTCTCCATCAGGGCCCGGCTAAGCCACAGGCCTCCACAGGGAGCATCCGTGTCCTGGCCTTAGCTGCTGAGTCCCAAACACGTGAGGCTGCCAAGGCAGTAGACTGCAGAGCCTGGGCCCTGAGGACCTAACCTTGCCATGGACAGATGCCCCAGGTTCTTCAAAGAGCCATGTTCACTGCCCTGAACCTCTGCCCTCAGGGAGTGGATGACACAAGCTCTTCTGAGGGCAGCACGGTGGACTGCCCAGATCCAGAGGAGATCCTGAGGAAGATCCCCGAGCTGGCGGACGACCTGGAAGAACCAGATGACTGCTTCACAGAAGGTACCAGGGGCATGGACCTCCTCATGCTCGCGTTAGTCCGGGTCAGAATCCCACCCAGCCCCCACCGAAGCACCTCTGTGTGCAGAACCATGGCCTGGCATCCATGAGAACTAACAAGCAGGCTCACTTCAGGCTTGAGATATCTGAGCCAGACACAAGTACTGCTTATGCCCCGAGAACAGGCTCACTGCACCATCCGCCCTCCTCACCCTCTGGAATGCCTTGCAAAGGTTATAAGCCAACCCTCTTGAGTTTGAAAGGGAAAAGGTACCTGCCACAACGGTTTCACTGTGAACTGGTTGGAGACGTAAAGGACCACAGGAGGGCCACGGGTGTCTGCTCCCGACATCTTTGGTGTCGTTCTGAAAAGTGGAGCCTGACTGATTCACTTCTCCCCTCCACATTTACAAAAGTGAGACACATTACAGTCTCCATAAACACTTGTGCGATGGATGAATAAACAAATGCTTCCTGATATGAAGGTAGTTGTGGTCTTGGTAACTTTAAATAAGTAGGAATTATGGGGAGCAGCATTTTGTTGAGTTTCCGCTTCCATTTGAACTTGGCTAAGCTGGACCCAGGCCCTACCCCAGCCACGTGGCTCCCCAGTTCCAGCGTGGGTGAGGCTGTGGCCTCCCAGGTACCCAACAGTGCATAAGCGGGTTTCCCAGCAGTCTGGAACAACGGTCATCCCATTGGATTACTCCTCACTGTCTATTCTAGTTCCCCTTCTGTGCTGTGATAAAACCCTGAAAGCAACCGAGGGGAGGAAGGAATTTATTTGGCTTCCAAGTCACAGTCACTTTGAGAAGAAGTCAAGACGGGGGACTCAAGCAAGAACTTGAAGCATGCTGTTGGTGCTTGTCCACAGGTTCATACTTAGCTTTCTTACAGAGTCCAGGACCATCTGGCTAGGGAGTGGTGCTGCCCACAGTGGGCTGAGTTCTCCCACATCAGTTAGCAGTCATGACAACACCCCGCAGATATGCCCATAGGGCAATTTATGTGTCAAATTGACAATAAAGCTAACCAGGACACTGTCCACCACCTCTCCCTCTAGGCTGCACTCGCCACTGTCCCTGCTGCAAAGTGAATACCAGTAAGTTTCCGTGGGCCACAGGCTGGCAGTTGCGCAAGACCTGCTACCGCATCGTGGAGCACAGTTGGTTCGAGAGTTTCATCATCTTCATGATCCTGCTCAGCAGCGGAGCGCTGGTAAGGGAAAGCGGGGTCCCTGACTCGATGGCCGCCGGCTGGGCTGGGCTTCCGTCTAAAGGCCTTGGAGCTTCCTCAGTGGGCTGCCCCCAAGACTTGAGCTGAAAGTCTCCAGGCTACAGATGGGAGGAAAGCTTTCACCCAGTGTACCTCATGGGAGGTGCTCAGCACACCCCTCACATGGCACTCTAAACCTAGATACAAGCTTTTCAAGCAATGAGTGTGTGCCTCCCACTTTATAGATGGAAAACAAGACTCAAATGGTTCGAGGACTCTCCTGATGTAACCAACTAGGCAGTACCAAAACCCAACTTTACCCATAATGGCTCCCCAGACCCTTAGCTTTCTACTCCCTGACCTTCCAAACACTGGCTTTTTCTGAAGATCGAGTCCATTCTCCCTTTCTTAACAAACCACACGCCTGCTACTTCTTCAGGCCTCACAGTCTGTTCAAGTATCATTTCCTCAAGTCATCTGGAGAGCATGTGGAAACAGGTCCAGTTTGAAGGCTTGATGACAGAATCTGAGAACTTGCATTTCCAACAAGCCACAGGTTGAGGCTGACACTGGCAGCCTAGAGCCAAACTGAACAGCAAGGTCCTAGGGAGTAGAAACTTGGGGAGTTCTGGAATACTCCAGAGGCTGCTGGCTGAATGCTGGACCCTGAAGAACAGGGAGAGAAGGTCTCTTCCCATGGACTTAGGCCCACTGTAGTACTGAGTGCCCATCCTACAAGCAAAGTGGGCATGGACGTTGGGAGGGACTCACTGTCCCCATTTAGCTGTGCTTCATACATAAAAATGTGGTGTCAAGACTCAGCTGGGGTCCAAGCTAATTTGTTTAGGAGCTGGGACTAGAGCCCCACTGTCCTGTTTAGGAGCTCTACCCATGTCTGTTTGTCTTGCTTGTCCTGTGTCATTTGCTCTCTAAAAACAAAACAGTCTACTGAATATCTGGGAACTGACTAAATGCCAGACTGGCCAGGGGAGCCAGAATTGTTCAGTGTGTGGCCTCAGCCTCAAGGAAGAGTGTATGGAAGAAACAGGGCTCGGGGAGGCGGAAGGAGAGTGGACGGAATGACCAAGCCTGTTGACTGGATGCCTTCCTCAGCCCTCACAGCTCCTCTCTTCCCATTAGCCTCCCCCACAGGTCCCCTTCTTTGTTCTCTGTCCCCCGCTGCTGCTCCCCCTTCTCTCTACAGTCTAGTGCCAGCCTCCCCCATTCCCAAGGGGACCCCAAATCCTGAAACAGCTGTTCTGCCCAGCCCCACCCCCAGCAGCTTCCCTTCACTCCCCATTTCCTTTCCTATGGGACCAAATAGACATGCACCAAATTTAGTCTTCTTTATGCTTTTGCTCTGAGTGCTTAAAAAAAACAACATGGATTTTCATCTGACAAAGTAAAATGAAAAAAAAACTTGAAAATTATAGAAAAAGATAAAGGAAAAAATCAGCCATTTTCCTGTCACTCAAAGAGAAACTCACTTTGAAAATACGTTGGTGTGGCTCTTCCCAGCTTTCTTATACACAGAATATAGAAATATAAAATAAATGTATGTATGCATTCTATGGTTTCCCAAGAAATTTCCTCAGGAAATATGCTCATACAAACTCATGTAACAGCCACAACGTATTTCATTATAGGAATGCGCCATCATTTATTCAGTCGTTACCTATATTCACACCTCACATGGATCACACATCTTCAGCGCTGCCTTGGAGAAGTTGAATACTTGTTGGAAATTTTGAATGACAATCAGAGATGTTGAATGATTGTCAGAAATACTGAGTGATTTCAGAGATATGGGATGATCATTGGAGACATTGAACGATGTCGGAGTTACCAAATGATGGTTGGAGATTTTGAATGACTATTACAGATGTTGAATGACGATCAGAGATGTCTAATGATTGTCAAGAATATTGAATACTAGACAGAGATGTTGAATGATGGTCGAAGATGTTGAATGGCGGCTGGAGACGCTTTGCTGGAGATTTCTGAATGCCTGCCTGGCTTAGGTTTGGTCCGAGAGGTTGAACCAATGTCTTTTGATCCAGCAGTTTATTGAGGTGTACTTACGGATGAAACAGGACAGCAGGGTTGTAGGAAAAGCAGCTGAGAGGTCACGTCCGGCCTCAGCTGATCCCACAGGAGCCCTAACCACTCAGGGCACCACACAGTTGTCCCACATGGAGGCAAACCAGACCTTATAAACCCAAGCATCAATGTCAATGGCTAGGACCGACCTGGAGGTGGGGGTCTAACCTATGAAGCACGTCCCAAAGCAGACTCAATTTGATCCAAGCCATAAAGCCACCCCTGGCAGCTGGGGGGTTGAAGCCTCATGGAAAGTCGTGTGGACACTGATAGCACCCAGTGTCTTTAGCACATTTTTAAAGGTAGATTGACTGACTACTTCACAACCCCAGTCATTCCTGGGAGTGAATCCCCAACGGACACACCAACACTGGGGTCCATCTCTGTTCTTTTTCATCTTTATCTCTGATAAAAGGAAAAGTTGGCATCTCTTTTAAATTTTTATTTCCTTGATTACCTGTGAGATAGAACACTCATTTTCAGAAGTTTCTTGGAGAATCTTTCTTATGGACTGCTGGTGGACATCTCTCTATGCTTTTATTTTTAAAAATAAGTCACTGCAAATATCCCTTTGGTTCACTTCCAAAATCCAATCTGAGGTTTCTTTTCTCACTTGTATCCAACAGCCCTGTGAAGTATCTGTGTGTCCCTGTGGGTTGCAATGTCTTGGTTTATATCCCATAGTGCATCCTCCGCTGTCCAGCTTGGATCCTCAGAGTAAAGAAAGAAAACTTGGCCATGCCAGCTACTAAGGCTATTCTCTGGAGGTGGTGGGCAGGGCTGGCTGGTTCTCACAGTGGGTCAGGACCCCAGAGCTATGGGCATTCTCCTCCCTTCCCTGCAGGCCTTTGAGGATAACTACCTGGAACAAAAGCCCCGAGTGAAGTCTATGCTGGAGTACACCGACAGAGTGTTCACCTTCATCTTCGTGTTTGAGATGTTGCTCAAGTGGGTGGCCTATGGCTTCAAAAAATATTTCACCAATGCCTGGTGTTGGCTGGACTTCCTCATTGTGAATGTGAGTGGCTCTGTGAGCACTGTGGGGGGTTTCCTCATTATGACTGTGAGTGGCTCTTGTGAGCACCATGGGGGTGGTGCTGGGATCTCACCGTGAACGGGAGCTGCAGCGAGTACAGATGTGGCTCTGACAGCTGTCTCTCGGGGACTGCTTTGAGCACTGAGAAGTTAGGATAACTTTGCACGTCAATGAGTGGTAAGCCCCGGGAAATTCAAAATTCGGACATAGTTGTGACCCTCCGGTGAAGCTGCAGGCCTCCAGATTCTGTCGGGTAAAACTACTCCAGCCCTCTGCCTTCATATCCAAAGCAAGTCGGCACAGGCACAGGCTTCCTTGTTCTTTCACCCATTGCCAGGGCTCTGGACCTCAGGGAGCCGTGGTCTTCAAACAGAGCCTGCCTGCCTGCTAGCTTCGTGGTCTCCAGCCCTGGCTGTGCATGTAACACACCCATGGATCTTTTAAAATCATGCTGGGCAAGCAGGACACGGGGAGGGTCTGGTCTTTCTGGTCTTGGGCGAGCTCCAGGCAACAGTATTTGTAGGTGTTTCCAGTCATTTCCAAGGTGTAACTGTGGTTGTGAACTGTGCTGAGGACACTGGCTCTCTGTGACACCAAAGGCAAGAGAAGGTCCTGCTGGAGCTCATGGGTAGGGACTCTGCATCAGTGGGTCGGCATGTGTGCCCCCCCCCACATTCTGCTGTCACTCACCTGTCTTAACCACTCCACTGCCCTGCCCCCTTTAGGCCATCTCCTTGACTTCTCAATGTGGCAACCTGTGTTTACTTGCTCACTGCTGTCTAGCTGAGGATTTCTGTGAGCAGAGTGAGCCATGGCTTGTCTCTGTCTCCCTCCTCCAGCAGCCACCTGCACCAGGGTCTTGCACATCAGTCAGACATGTCAGGAAACATGTCTATGTCTGGTATGTGCCTCCTGAAGCTGACTGGGGTCCAGTACAGAACATTCTGTCTAGCATAAGTTGGCAATACCTCCAGCCCAGGCCTGCATGTGACTCCCTTCTCTCCTGATGCCGGTGGTATCAGGTCCCTGTGCTACAGGGACTCTGAGAGGCCTGAAATCTGAGTCACAGGTGACAGTTCTGTGCATGGGAAACAATTATCCACAAATAAGAAGAAAATGCTTTCTTCTGTCTTGCATCCTGCCAAGAGCTCTGCTTGTGTAGACTTCATTGTTTTCCAATGCTGATCACCTTAAGAAGTCTCTTCTTAAGTCGGGCATGGTGACGCACCCCTTTAATCCCAGCACTCAAGAGGCAAAGGCAGATGGATCTCTGTGGGTTCGAGGACAACCTGGTCTACAGAGTGAGTCCCAGGGCAACCAAGGCTATGTAAAGAGACACTGTCTCAAAAAGAATAAGAAGAAAAGGTAGTGGTAGTACTAGTAGTAGAAGGGAGAAGAAGAAAAAGGGGAGGAGGAGGAGGAGGAGGAGGAGGAGGAGGAGGAGGAGGAGGAGAAGGAGAAGGAGGAGGAGGAGGAGGAGGAGAAAAAGCAGCAGCCTCTTTTTCATTGTGACTGTCTGTCCTTCCTTCCACGCTCCCACTTCCCATCTCTTCCACTATTAACCCTTCTTCCTTCTTTCCTTTCTTCTTCCAAGAGCCCATCCATCTTCACTTCTCTCATCTGCCCTTCTCCTTCTAGCTATCCCTTTCCATTCATCTTTTTTTCTCTTCCCTTTATCCTTGTCTTCCTCTGTCCATTCACCAATTGGTGTTTAATCCTTACATCTCTGTGGATGCTCCTTCTAACCAAATAGCCAGTTACTTAACCTTCTGTTCCCCCACTCACTCATCATCTATCCAAGCATACATCTACTCATTCGTCCTTTTATCCTATGGTCTACAATCTTTCCATACTTCCTTTTCCAATCTCTGATGGTCAGTTTTAAATGTCCACCGAGGATCACCTGGGAAGAGACAGTTATCTAGATCCAGTTGGCCTGTAGGCATGTCTGTGGGAGATTGCCTTGGTTGTTAAATGGGTTTGGAAGACCCACCCTGAAGGTACGCTGCACCCTTTCACGGGCTGGCCCCTGCACTGTACAGCAGTGAAGACAGATGGACAGAAGCAGTGAGAAATCAGCAGCGATCCCTTCATTGGTCTCTGCTCTGGCTGTGGGTGTGATGTGAATTGCTGCTTGAGTTCTGCCTTGAATTTCCCACCGACGGCTGTAGCTTGGAACGTAAGCCAATTAAACCCTTCTTCCCCCTAGCTGCTTTGTGTTGGGTTGTCTTTTCACCCATTCCAACAGGACTCTTTGATTTCTTTCTTTCTTTCTTTCTTTCTTTCTTTCTTTCTTTCTTTCTTTCTTTCTTTCTTTCTTTCTTTCTTTCTTTCTTTCTTTTTTCAAGACAAGGTTTCCCTGTGTAGCTTGAGAGCCTGTCCTGGAACTCGCTCTGTAGACCAGGCTGGCCTTGAACTCACAGAGATCCGCCTGGCTCTGCCTCCCAAGTGCTGGGATTAAGGATGTGCGCTACCACTGCCCAGCAATTCTTTCTTTTCTTGCATCTATGAAATATTTATTTAAATCTTTTAAATGCAAAATTGCTATGTGGAGTGCCCAGGAAACACAAAAGCAATAAATAGACAGTCAGGCATAGTGTTATATGCCTGGAATCCCAGCACTGGAGAGCATGGCAGACGAAGACTGGGAGTTTGGGGCTAGCCTGGGCTATAGAGTAAGACCTGTCCCAAAAAAAGGAAAGGGGATGGAATGGATGGGAAGAGGAGAGAGAAATGAAGGGAAGGAGGGTAGGAAGAGAGAGGAGAGGAAGAGTAAAGAGCATAAAGGAGGAGAGGGGAGGAGAAGGAAAGAAGGGAGGAGGGAGAATGGAAGAAAGGGAGAGAAAGATCTGTTGTTCAAATTTCTAATGTCTTATAATAAAAATCCCAGAGCCAGTTATCAGGGTGAAAGCTGAAAGATCAGAGAAGCAGAACAGCCAGCCACTAGTTCTTACTTCTGCGAAAACATCAGCCTAAAGAGAGTGAGTTCCTGTTTCCTCACACCTTATATACCTTTCTCTACCCAGACGTCACTTCCCAGGATTAAAGGCATGTGTGCTTCCCAGCACTGGGATTAAAGGTGTGTGCCACCACCGCCTGGCTCTGTTTTCAGTGTGGCCTTGAACTCAGAGATCCACATGGATCTCTGCCTCCCGAGTGATAGGATTAAGGGTGTGTGCCACCACTGCCTGACCTCTGTGTCTAATCTAGTGGCTGGCTCTATCCTCTGATCCTCAGGCAAGTTTTATTAGGGTACACAATACATCACCACAGAGATCTACTCCAGGAGTTTACACTTCAATCTTCCAACAGGCAAGACAGACACAGACAAGGAAATGTAAATGTATTAAAAGGGTGGGGTTGATGAACACTGCTGAGGACAGTTACCATTGAGGAGACACAGAAACATGAGCATTCTTCCACTTGATGAGTGGAGTGGCTTGGAAAGCTTCTGGTAGGAGGTAGCATTAAATGTGGAGCATAGAAGTAAGAGCAGAGAGGTGCCAGAGGAAGGCCAATCCTACCTGAAAGTATAACCTCGGCCACAGGAAGACATGGAGAACCATTGATCTGAACAGAATCTGTGGGTGGGATGTGGCTAGAAAGGCAGGCTATGGTCACATGACCCAGGTTGAGGGCAGGACCTTACCCAAGATGCTAAAGTCCCAATGAAGAGTGGAAGTGTGAGGGAACCAGGGTCATAACCAGGATTATGATAGAGTATGGAGGAGAGAGGTGTAGTATTAGTACCTGACCAGTAAGCTGGGTACCTGGCGGCCTGAGCAATACAGGAGGTGGACTTTGCCAGGGCTGTCTGCTCCATATGCAAAGTTGGAACATGAAACAGCCTTCCCTGAAGGATGTGCAAAAGATTGGTGTGAAACTGGCCCTGAACCTTGCTGTCCACAGCCAGGCAGACAGCTGGGTGCCTGACGGTGTCTGGAGCCTTGTGTTAATGCAAGAAGGAAGTCTTTTCTATTCTGTTTGTTGTGGTAGCTGTTGGCCTGGTAGAATAGGCCACCCATTCAGAGAATGGGTATTGTTTCAGACACAAGGACCTACGTGTCAATCTCTTGTTTTCTAGAGTTCTGGTACAGTGGCAGAGTAAGTAATTTAAGCCTTAATTCAGCACCATGCAGGATGTTGTGTGTCTGGGTCACAGTCCTATCAAGCTAAGCTTGTCACCAGAATGTCTCCCCCTAGTACCTTGAAAGTTCCTGCAAGGGGTGACTGATTTTTCATGACAGCCTGTGTCCTTTGCTGTCCTTGGGATACCACCTAAAGAGAACTGGCAGACTAACAGGGACTCACTGCTCAGTTGAACCTCAGATGTCTACTGAAGCTAGAACTCAGACAACTGTCCACCTGTGAGAACTAGCTGACTTGTGGTCTGAATCCGCCTTTCCATTTGACTCCTATGTTTTACAAAGGGCAAAAGTGTCGTAATCCAGCAGGTCTTGAAAAGCCAGAGACCAAGAGGGACCTAAAAATATACATACAAGCAGGATTTATTCCAACCCAATTTTCTAAGCAAATAAAATCAAGACTAATTTTAAATCCCTCAGAATAAGCATATTAGTTACTTTTCTGTTGCTGTAGCTGTATTAAAATTCCATGTCCAAAAGCAATTTAGAGAAGAAAGGGTTTATTTTGGCTTATGGTTCCAGAGGGATAGACTTCATCATCTTAGGGAAATGTGACATCAGGCAGGGAAAGCCCAGCAATAGGAACAGGAAGCTGGATGATCACATCTTCACCCCCACACAAGAAGAGGGGGACAAGGAGAAGGAGGAGGAGGAGGAGGAGGAGGAGGAGGAGGAGGAGGAGGAGGAAGAGGAAGGCAGACAAGACTACAAACCTTCAAAGCCAGCCCCCAGTGATCCCAGTGATGCATTTCCTCCAGCAAGGCTCCACCTCTTAAAGGGTCCGTAACCTCCTCAAACAGTACCACCAGCTAGGGAGCTAGTATTCAAATACATGAGCCTGTGGGAGACATTTCTCATTTAAACCACCACAATGGGATTTAATCATAGGTCCAATGAAGGGATATCAGCTCCCCAAATCTCTGGAAGTCAATCAAAATATCAAGGCTCTTGGGGCCCAGCTTGGAGGGAAAAACAAGTTTGGCCACATATATCTGGGGATAGTAATGGGTGAGAACATATTTTCTTGTTGTGGTGGTTTGAAAGAAAATGGCTCCCATAGGGAATGACACTATTAGGAGGTGTGGCTTTGTTGGAATAGGTATGGCCTTGTTGGAGGAAGTGTGTCACTGTGGGGATGTGCTGTGGGATGGTCTGTATGTCAAATGTGTTGCTGATTGGTCAATGAATAAATCACTGATTGGTCAGTGGCCAGGCAGGAAGTATAGGCGGGACTAACAGAGAGGAGAATTGAGAGAACAGGATGCTGGGTGAGGGAGACACTGCCAGCCGCCATGATGAGAAAGAGCATGTGAAGATACCGGTAAGCCACGAGCCATGTGGCAAGGTATAGATTAATAGAAATGGATTAATTTAAGCTGTAAGAACAGTTAGCAAGAAGCCTGCCACGGCCATACAGTTTGTAAGCAATATAAGTCTCTGTGTTTACTTGGTCGGGTCTGAGTGGCTGTGGGACTGGCAGGTGAGAGAGATTTGTCCTGACTGTGGGCCAGGCAGGAAAACTTTAGCTACAGGGATGGGCTTTGAGGTTTCCTTTGCTCAAGCTACACCCAATGACACAGTTTACTTCCTGTTGCCTATGGATCATGATGTAGAACTATCAGCTCCTTCTCCAGCACCATGTCTGCCCGCATGCTGCCATGTCCTTCCATGATGATAATGGACTAAACCTCTGAAACTGTAAGCCAGCCCCAGTTAAATGTTTTCCTTTGTAAGAATTACTGTGGCCATAGTGTCTCTTCACAGCAATGGAAACCCTCCCTAACTAAGACACGTGCCCAGAAGTCCGTGTGAGTAATCAACAGGTTTTGAGCCCATCACAGAAGATGGGGCGGAAAGAGTGTAAGATCCGGAGGAAGGGGTGGAGTGTTGTGAAATGCTGTCTTTGGGGTGTGGGGACATTGTACTCCTGAACTCACAGCAGCTGTCACCTGAACAGGACTGAGCCCACCAATATCCTGTTGTGATGGAGGAGGGGCTCACAAGGCCCCGCCCATCCCTGAGGCTCTATAGATCACTAGTGATTGCTAGAAGAAGGAGAGACATTTTCTTAGTGGTGTAGCCACTAGTTAGATGCCTGTGCTCCTGTAGGCAATCCACTGAAGCTCCGTGTGACACACACACACACACACACACACACACACACACACACACACACCATGAAAATAAAAATAATTGGAAGAGAAGGGGATCAGTGGAGGATGAGGGAGATAATAGAGAATCAGGGAAGGTGAATGTGATTAAAATATACTCTATATACTTGTGAAAACATAATGAAATCCATAATTGTGTGTAATTAGTATATGCTAATAAGCCTTTTAATTCAGTAAAAGCAAAGGACTTTCTAGAATTTCCTCTGGACTAAATAGACAGAGCAGAGACTGGGAGGTGGGGCATAGAGGTGCTTTCTCTTTCCACCAGCCGACGTTCTAGAACTCCAGGATAATGCATTGCTTTCTGCCTGTACCAGATCTCCCTGACAAGCCTCATAGCGAAGATCCTCGACTATTCAGACGTGGCATCCCTCAAAGCCCTTCGGACTCTCCGTGCCCTCCGACCACTGCGGGCTCTGTCTCGATTCGAAGGCATGAGGGTAAGACCCATTTCAGAACTTCTCTGACCCACAGTGTTTGGCACACCTTCCCCAAATTCCCCCATCCCTGTGCCCTCCATACCCTGACACAAAGTGACAGGCCCCACTTCCAGATATCAGCTCTGTGTCGTCCCTTCCCGGTCAGACCTTGGTGACACTGTACAGTCTAACTGCCTTGTCTCCCTCAAGTCAGACTGTAAGAACCTCCTTTCTCAAATGCTACCACCCCCAGGCTCAGACCTCACTCCCTCGGGACGTGGTCCTGGCTATTCCCCGCCTCCTGGACTTACTCTGAGCACCCACAGAGCACCCACTGTCCCATTTCCTATGAGAAGGGAGCCTTGTCCCTGTCACTTGCGTACATGTAGGGATAACCTCGGCTCAGCACCTGAGCCAGCATCCATCCAAAAGCATCTCTTGGACAATCTTTATGTCCTGTGGCTTTTCTGTGCCACTCACCGCTTTCTTTCTTTATTACTATCAGCCTCCTCCCTGCCCCACCTCCATCACCGGCTCAAAGCAGCCACTATAGCTTCCCAAATAACAATGGAGTTTTTAGATCAGTTTGTGGGCTGGAGAGTTAGCTCAGTCAGTACAGTGTTTGCCTCGCAAGCATGAGGATCTGAGTTCAAACCCCAGAACCCATGTGAAAAGAATAATTTTAAAAGGCAGGCATGGAAGTGCATGCTTATAATCTCAGCTGGGGAGGAGAGCCAAGTGGTCCGAGGGCTCACTGGCAGCCAGCCTACCCCTTCCAGGTGAGTTCAAGGTTAATGAAAGACTCTGCTTCAGAATGGGTGGGTGGAATTCCTGAGGATGATGCTGAAGCCTGTCTTCCAGCCTCTGTCCAGCAGGCACGTGTGTAGCAGAGAATAAAAAGTGGCATTTTGGGGAATTTCATGTCCTTTTCCATTTCCCACCAGGTAGTGGTGGATGCGCTGGTAGGCGCCATCCCCTCCATCATGAACGTCCTCCTCGTCTGCCTCATCTTCTGGCTCATCTTCAGCATCATGGGCGTGAACCTCTTTGCAGGGAAATTTTCGAGGTGCATTGACACCAGCAATAATCCATTTTCTGTTGTGAATTCCACCATTGTGAATAACAAGTCTGAGTGTCAAAATCAAAACCACACTGGCCATTTCTTCTGGGTCAACGTGAAAGTCAACTTTGACAATGTTGCTATGGGTTACCTCGCACTTCTTCAGGTGGTGAGTCAACGCTGAGATCCATCATTTCTATTCCTTTGGCTGCTTAGTAAATGGAGCTTCCAGATTCTTCCAGACGATGCTGCATAGAGACATTACAGGAGGCAGCATTCAATGTAAGCAGAAGCCGTTCTCTATTCCCACGGACACCACTAGACTAGAGGTCCTTACTGATGAGTGTGAGCACACAGGGCTGACTCTAGCTAAGTCTGCCTAAGATAACAGAATGAAAAGATGAGCCATCCATGGGGCAGGATGCACAGAACAGGCATGTTTATAGGGTTCCATCTTTCACTTCTCATTATTTCCTATATGATAACAAATTTTAGCTAGTTAAGTTTGTTGTGATGGTGGATAATATTGGTGATAACAATGAAATATGTTCACACTATTCAATTGTACCTCACTTGTCTACATCCACATTTTCATTCAGTCCTGTGTTTATTGAAGTGTGGTTACAATTACTTATACATCTGTGGCATCTATTTGCCTAAGAGTTTCTATATTCTACCCTCTGTCCATGCTCATTCAGGGAACAAATAATCTCTGTAGCAGCGGTCTGCCAGGTACTGTACTTTACCCATGAAAGCAACAGTACAGGACCTGGGGCTTCATGAGTAAAATGGACAAATACATTATTCAAACAGCCCATCAAATGCTGTAACAGACTGAAGAGAGCAAAGTTTCTTTCATGCCTGAGATAGGCTACAAAGCACACCCACTTTTAAGTCCTCAAGGATGCTAAGACTGGGCTAGGGAGATGGTTCAGGGAGAAAGGGCACTTGCTATGCAAGCCTGAAGACCTGAGTTCAGATCCTCATTACCCATGAACAATTCTGGGTATACACAACTGCACTCACCTATAACCCCAGGCTGAGCATGTCAGCCAGACAATCCCACTAAGATAAAGCCTGAGCTCCAGGTTCAACAACAATCATGTCTTAGTGGGAAAGGGCAGAGAACAATGGAGGACATTAGACACCTCCTCCTCTGTCTTCTGCACACACATGCATTAACACACACACATACACACACACACACACACACACACACACACACACACACACACACACACGAATGCTAAAACTGAAAACAGGAAATTGGTCTCACTCCCACTTTCAGATGTGTATTCTTTATTTTGATATTGAAAATAGATTATTATTTATTTATTTATTTATTTATTTTACATCCCAACCACATTTTCCCCTCCCTCCTCTCCCAGTCCCTTCCCCACCTCCCTTCCCTACAACAATCCACTCCTCCTCCATTTCTGTTCAGAAAAGGGAGGTTGGAGAGACGGCTCAGAGGTTAAGAGCACTGACTGCTCTTCCAGAGGTCCTGAGTTCAATTCCCAGCAACCACGTGGTGGCTCACAGAAAAGGGCAGGCCTCCCATGGACATCAGCAAAACACAGCATATCAAGTTGCCATAAGACTAAGCACCTCCTGGTACTACAGCTGGGCAAGATGACCCAGTATGAGGAATAGGGTCCCAAAAGCCAGTAAAAGAGTCCGAGACAGTCCTTGTTCCCACTGTTGGGAGTCCCACAGGAGGACCAAGCTACACAACTGTAACATATATGCAGAGGGCCTAGGTTTGTCCCATGCAGGCTCCCTGGTTGTCGGTTCAGTCTCTGTGAGCTCCTATGAGCCAGGTTAGTTGATTCTGTGGGTTTTCTTGTGACCCCTCTGGTTCTTACAATCCTTTCTCCCTCTCTTCAGTGGGATTCCCCCAGCTGGGCCCAGTGTCTGGCTGTGGGTCTCTGCATCTGTTTCCATCAGTTGCTAGATGAAGCCTCTCTGATGACAATTGGGCTAGGCACCAATCTATGAGTACAGCAGAATATCATTAGGAATCATTATACTGACATTTTTTTCTCCAGTCATGTTTGGTTCTATCCAGGTCTCTGGGCCATCCAGCCTCTGGGTCTTGGCCCTCCAGGCAGTGTCAGGGGTGGACTCACTCTTGTGGCATGGGTCTCAGGCTGGACCAATCATTGGTTGGCCACTCCCACAATCTCTGTGTCTTCCTTACCCCAGCACATCCCATAGGTAAGGACAGACTGTAGGTCAAAGGTTATGTGGCTGGGTTGGTGTCCCACTCCCTCCACTGGAGGTCTTGCCTGGTCACAGGAGATGGCCAGTTCAGGCTCCATATCCCCTGTTGCTTGGAGTCTTAGCTGGGTCATCCTTGTAGGTTCCTGGGAGTTTCCCTTGTACCAGGTTTCTACCTCACCTGAAATGGCCTCCTTTCCAGTCATCTCTTTCAGTACTCTCCCCCACCCCACTCCCACATGTTCCCCCATGTTCCCATCCCCACCTGCCCCCAATCCACCCATGAAATCTCTATTTCCCCTTCCCAGGGAGATCCAAGTGCCTCCTTCCCCTTGAGTCTCCTCGTTACTTAGCTTCTCTGGGGCTGTGGATTATAGCATGGTTATCATTTACTTCATAGCTAATATCCACTTATAAGTGAGTACATACCATGTCTATCTTTCTGGGTCTTGGTTACCTCACACTGTAGTGAGTCTTTCTCTGTCCCACCAGCCAGCTCCCAAATAATGACACGGAGACTTATTAATTATGAACGTTTGGCCTTAGCTTAGGCTTGTTCCTAACTAGTCTTATAACTTATATTAACCCATTTCTATCAGTCTGTGTGCTGACACATGACTTGTGGCTGTTACCTCTCCTCCTGCATGTCTTGCTTGTTCTGCATCTCCTGACATCTCTCTCATGTACCTCGATTTCCTCCTCGTACTTCCTCTCTCTACCCAGAAGTTCTGCCTGTACCTCCTGCCTAGGTATTGGCCATTCAGCTCTTTATTAAACCAATCACAGCAACACCTCTTCACACAGTGTACAAATATCCCACATCACTCGGGATGATGTTTTTCTAGTTCCATCCACTGGCCTGTGAATTTCATGATGTCATTGTTTTTAACAGCTGAGTAATACTCCATTATGTAAATATACAACATTTTCTTTATCCATTTTTCTTTTTTCTTTTTTTTTTTTTTTTTTTTGGTTTTTCGAGACAGGGTTTCTCTGTGTAGCTTTGCGCCTTTCCTGGAACTCACTTGGTAGCCCAGGCTGGCCTCGAACTCACAGAGATCCACCTGGCTCTGCCTCCCGAGTGCTGGGATTAAAGGCGTGCGCCACCACCGCCCGGCCCATTTTTCAACTGAGGGACATCTAAGTTGTTTCCAGGCTAGAAACTCAAAGCAATTCCACTAAAATCAGGAACAAGACAAGGCTGTCACTCTCCCCATATCTATTCAATACAGTACTTGAAGTTCTAGCTGCAGTAATAAGACAACAAAAGGAGATCAAGGGGATACAAATTGGAAAGGAAGAGGTCAAAGTGTCATTATTCACAGATGATATGATAGTATGCATAAGTGACCCCAAAATTCTACCAGAGAACTCTTACAACTGATAAACACCTTTAGTCAAGTGGCTGGATACAAGATTAACTAAAAAAAATCAGTAGCCCTCCTATAAACGAACAATAAACAGGCTGAGAAAGAACTCAGAGAAACAACACCCTTCACAATAGCCACAGATAATATAAAATATCTTGGTGTAACTCTAACCAAGCAAGTGAAGGACCTGTATGACAAGAACTTCAAGTCTTTGAAGAAAGAAATTGAAGAAGATATCAGAAGATGGAAAGATCTCCCATGCTCATGGATCAGGACTAACATAGTAAAAATGGCCATCTTACCAAAAGCAATCCACAGATTCAACACAATTCTCACCAAAATTCCAACACAATTCTTTACAGACCTTGAAAGAACAATACTCAACTTCATATGGGAAAACAAAAAAACCCAGGACAGCTAAAACAATCGTGTATCTTATTCTTATGTCACATACATTAACCAGGAAAATGACTGAGAAAATGGCAGCCTCAACAGAGCATAGAATAGCCTGTACCAGTGTCCCGATAGCTAGGCAACTCGAGTCCCAGTTCAGGCCATGTTCTAGAAAGTCCCATGTCTTCCATACCACACTACTCTGGGTTACTTGAAATCATGTGAGATTAGTTCAGTCACCCAGGGACTTCCTTTCTTCCCCTTCTGCCTGAGCTCTGTCCTCCCCAAGCCTCTTTACTCAGCATCCCACACTCTCCCACTGAGCCACCATAGACTGAGAAGGTCCAGTTAGATGGACAGACGCTGATTGCCCTCCACTTCTTGTTTCCAGGCAACATTCAAAGGCTGGATGGACATTATGTATGCGGCTGTCGATTCCCGAGAGGTGAGTCTCAGCTTCTGGTGCGCATGGCCTCCCCCCTGTGCATCCTGTTGCACTGACTGTATCTGGGATGAAATTTAAATAGCCTTCCCGCCAGAAGAGTCAGACTTACACCGCTTCCCACAGCCCATCTCTGTGGCAGTGTCCATCTGCTACGTGTTTGGGCATTTGAGCTCAATTAGCCTTCCACGCGTGCTCCTCAGGCTTCTCAAGCACGTCTTTCGCTCACTGAGGCCATGACAGACAGCTAGATAGCAGTGATTTTATTGGTTACTTTTCCTGTTGCTGTGACCAAACACCTGACAAGAAGGAATATAAAGAAGGGATTATTTTGGCTTACAGTTCAAGGGATCTCAGTCTCTCACAGCCTAGGAAGCATGACAAGAGTGGGAGGCAGCTGGTCACACTGCAGTCCCAGTCAGGAAGCAGAGCAGACAGGAAATAATTGGCTTCTTCCAGCGAGACTTTCAGTCTTACAAGTTCCACAACCTTCCCAAATGGTAGCACCAACTGGGGCCTAAGTGTCCAAACATTAACGAACCTGCGGGAGACATTGCACATTCCAATCCTAACAGTAATGGGTAAGGTCCCTTCCTGCCATGGCAGGCACAACTGATGTCCTGCCGTCCTCTGAGCCCCTGGAGTCCTCTGGAATGCCCATCCTCTGTCCGAAGCCTTTCTTCAGTTCATCAGATGTTACTCAGTGGCCTCTCCCAGCAGGACAGGGGATGGGCTGTTTCCAGGCAGCTCTGATTAATAAGTCTCAGGAGTTGACAGACAAGCATTACAGCTTCCCTGTTCCTTGGTGGTCCCACTCTGAGGTGTGTTCTCCAGCAGGATGGAGCTCCAGTTGCCTACAGCATCGGCCTAGCTAATAAATAAATACCCCTCCATCAGCCTCTCTTATCTGCTGCCTCTCCCCAACTCCTCAATCCTGCCTTACAGGATAAAGTACCGGGGCCTGGTCTCAGGGTTAGCTTTTAGAGAAAGCCTAAGACATGCACCTCCTCACATCTCCTGCCTTGTCTGGACCACAGATCAACAGCCAGCCGCGGTGGGAGGACAACCTGTACATGTACCTCTATTTCGTCGTCTTCATCATTTTTGGAGGCTTCTTTACACTGAATCTCTTTGTTGGGGTCATAATTGACAACTTCAATCAACAGAAGAAAAAGATAAGTGGGGCTCAAGTGTCTTGGCCATAGTAATGAATCCCATAGTAATGAATCTTGTACTTCCTATCCCTTGGACAACTGTGGCCTCGCGGCTAAAAGCCAATGGCTTCCTGTCTGTAGCACTAAGCTGATATTTGTCCCCTGGGTTTGGTCCTCACCACTGTCTGGTGCCTGATGCTGCCACTGCTGGGGGAGCTGTATTTGCAGGGTTATAAATGCTCCCCAAGGTTCCCATCCTCCAATAAAGTGACCTTGGTCTTCTCAACTGGAGCCAAGCGTCACAGACGACTCCTTACAAAGTACCACTAGGGTGGCAAAGGACCTGTGACTCTAGAACTTTAAGCCCCAAGGGACTGAGTTAGGACACCTCAGGAAGGGCCAAGGCACTGGCAGAATACCAACCCTCTTGGAATGGAAAAGAAGATTCATGCCTCCATACTTCCCTTGGCTTCATAGGACCCTAATCCCAAATATTTATTTATATTTACAATATAAAATATGAGTGCTAAAGGTATAAAGGGCTTTCGCTTTGTGCCTGCGTATTCTCCTGTTCCCAAGCCCTCTCTGCTCTTGTACTGCAGAACAGAAACTAGCTTTGCTTCAGAAACCCAGGCAGTGGATCATAGCCAGGTACTCCCCTCAGAGTTTAGCAAGCATAGTGCTTTCAAGCATGGTGCTGTGGTAGAGCATTTGACTGCAGGACCCAGGCAGGGGGTCTGCAATGGGCTCATCCCCTCTCAGGTCAGACATTCCCTGATTCTTCCTGCTCAGGAGATGAGAAGATTGGAATGGTCCGCAGGCTTTGGCATCTCTGGAGGATCTTGTTATTTTAATAACATCAGTGTGTCCTGCTCCTCTACCTAGGAGGTCAGGACATCTTCATGACAGAGGAGCAGAAGAAGTACTACAATGCCATGAAGAAGCTGGGCTCCAAGAAGCCCCAGAAGCCTATCCCACGGCCCCTGGTGAGTCCCTGGGTTTCTCTCTATCAGAGCAGGTTTGTGAGTTCAGCTTAACCTGGACTGAGTAGACGCCTAGCCAGTGCCATATGGAGAAAATTCTGGGACAAGTTTAAGGGTGGAAGTGATGAGGTTCCTAGGCCCCAAAAATGAGAAGTTTAAATGAAGTGAAAACAGCTCCAGTGGTTACTTCAAATAAGCTTGCCTGACGAGCTCTGCATCTCTCAACAAGTGGCTGAATCATGGCTTTGGAAACAGGTCATGAAATAGAAAGGGTGTTAGAGTTTCTACATTAAGGCGTGGTCCTTATATAAGTTACTCCAGACTTGGTGAGTACAAGGTGTCGGAACATTTACAGGAGGGAAAGGAAGATTTATCACCTTTGCCACACTTTATTTGTAAATAGTGAGTATCAATTTGATGCTGTTCTAACATCTGCGAAGAAACATTGGATCAGGATGGCAGGAGGTTCCAGACTGTACCAGCAGAAACGTCCTTCCTAATCCCGTAAGATGAAGATGACTGGGTTTGGATAAGTCTGAACAAGAGTGTGCAAGGCATCCTGAGGGCCTCTCAGGACACACACACACACACACACACACACACACACACACACACACACACAGTGCTGAGGAAATAGCTATTGGTGAAGTACTTACCTTGCAAGCACAAGGACCTGAATTCAACCCCCAGAATCCACATCTATAAAGGTAGGTGTGGTTGGTCACTTGTCCTCCCAGCACTGGGGAAGTAAATCAGGCAGATAGATCCCTGGGGCTCACTGGTAGGTCAGCCTGGCCTACTTAGCAAATTCCAGGATAGGGAGAGACCCTGTTTCTAGACAAGATGGATGGCACCTTAGTAACAATATCTGAGATTGTCCCCTGACCTGCACACACACACACACACACACACACACACACACACACACACACACACACACACACACACACAGAGTGCATAAGCACTTGCACATGCACAAAATCCAACGGGTGGGAACAGGCTCAAAATTAAAGATTCAGGTAAAAGGCTGTGCCCAGCCAAAGGGATTCAAGTCAGGGGTTATAAAAGCAAGCCGCTGAATTCCATGGCCTTCACTGATCCCACACCAGTGCTAAGCTACCGTCTGAACCAGAATCCTGTGTTTGGGCCACTCCTTAGAATAATCAAGCTTCTGATACCTTCTCTCCAGCCTCTCCCCTCTTATCAACCAGCCCACAGACCACTGGAACTTCTTCCCCTCGTTGTCCCGGGAATAGAGTGGGCTAGATTTCAAAAGTGCACTGTAGATACGAAGGCATGGGTCAGAGCGGGAATTGTAGGTGGATACCATTGCTTCCAATAAAGTCTTACCTGGGACCCTCCACATCCCCCAGTGGTGGCATAAGGTCAGTCCTCCCCATGAGGGGAGTGGGCCTCACTGCCTGGCTCTGCTCCTGGGGTTCTCCATCTATTGGGAGGAGAGTGTGCACTACTAATTGACCATATCAATACTCTTAGTGGAGAAGCTTGGCTTTTTCTTCTCTTTGTGATCCAAGGCTGGTGAACTTTAACACTTGTGTTCCCAATCAAGAAAAGCTGAGACAAGGTTAGGATATTTCAGCAGTGCTTTGCAATCTTGGGGAAACCATGAGAGCAGTGTCTAAGCAGAGACCACATGTGGCTGTTCTCCAGAGCCCACAGTCCTCGGTCCCTCCGTGCTATAGACAGTGTTCACATCTTGATACCACCTGCCTGGTGACATAGTCTGATCATATACCCTCCCTCAAGTCTAGAGCCAAGAAAGAAACTCAAGGAAAAAATTCCTACTTTATCTTAATGTTACTGGAAATTTTGTGGTGCAAGTCCAGGCTCTGGCAGCCCTAACAAGTTGGGTTCTACCTTCCATCCTCAAAATGCCAATTAAAGAGACAAGTGAGAGTGAGAACCAGTGAAAGGAGGTTCTTCAACATGGGCCATATTGGTAGGAGGGAGGAATAAAGAAGTCCTCCCAAGTCCATCTTCTACTTGGTTTAAATAGAGAGCAAGAGATATGCATAGCTAGGAGGCCCTGGTCAAGTGTGGTCCTGCCCATCACTGACCCATCAGTGACTCAACTCCAGTCTGTCCTGCAAGGCGGCCTGAGCAGTTGTCAGAACTCTGTGAAATCTCTTCCTGGGAGACAAGTTCCCCTCTGACTGGCACCAGGCTTTAGTCCTTCATTCAGCATGAGACTACTGGGGAAATTCAATTGCTTGGGGTCTGTTGTGCCAATAGTCTGGGAGGGGCTCAAGCATCTCTTTAGAACACCTACACTTCTGCCAGGACAGCTGTGCTAACATCTGTCCTCCCAAGACCAGCTCTCTTTCCATCCAGCATCTGTCTCTGGAATGTTCTGCTGGTGTGTTTAGGAGTCTCAAGAGATCAAGCAGAGCATTGGCAGAGAAGTTCCGCACCTCCCAGGTGTGTGGGTGCTTCTAATGGCAGAGCTAACACAATACTACAGAGGGATTCCCCAAATCGTACATGCACCCCACCCCTTGCCTCTGGTAAAGTTCACATTCTAAATCTTGTCTTATCCATAGAAAGAGTGAAAGGTTCTACAGGACTGGACGATTTTATTCTATAATGTTCTCTCTTATAAAAATCACTAAAAGCCGGGCGGTGGTGGTGCACGCCTTTAATCCCAGCACTCGGGAGGCAGAGGCAGGCGGATCTTTGTGAGTTCGAGGCCAGCCTGGTCTACAGAGCGAGATCCAGGAAAGGCGCAAAGCTACACAGAGAGACTCTGTCTCGAAAAACCAAAAAAAAAAAAAAAAAAAAAAAAAATCACTAAAAGCAGGTTTCACATGCTCCACATTATAAGAAAATAATAGACTCCAGGCTTGTCATGTTATCATTCACCCTCCATCACCTCCGAGTACACAGAGGGTTACCAAGATGTGAGCCCCACCAACAGGCTGAGTGGGGAAACAGACAAGCGTTGGAATATCTAACCCTAATCTGAGGCTTGTTTGGTTTAATTAGAAGTCATGTAACCAAGAATGGACCTCTTTCTTCTTCTTCTTCTTCTTCTTCTTCTTCTTCTTCTTCTTCTTCTTCTTCTTCTTCTTCTTCTTCTTCTTCTTCTTCTTCTTCTTCTTCTTCTTCTTCTCCTCTCCTCCTCCTCCTCCTCCTCCTCCTCCTCCTCCTCCTCCTCCTCCTCCTCCTCCTCCTCCTCCTCCTCCTCCTCCTCCTCCTCCTCCTCCTCCTCCTCCTCCTCCTCCTCCTCCTCCTCCTCCTTCTTCTCCATTTCATGATGACATGGAAGAGCTTAGTGGCTCAGCAAAGCCCCTCCCATCCCAGAACATGGAAGAGCTTAGTGGCTCAGCAAAGCCCCTCCCATCCCAGAACATGGAAGAGCTTAGTGGCTCAGCAAAGCCCCTCCCATCCCAGAACATGGAAGAGCTTAGTGGCTCAGCAAAGCCCCTCCCATCCCAGAACATGGAAGAGCTTAGTGGCTCAGCAAAGCCCCTCCCATCCCAGAACATAAGCCAACAGTCAAGCAAAGAGCCAGGCCCTTTGTGGTCTGAGTCTCTGCTCTAACCTAGCAGGGTAGCAACCCACCCACACTGTGAAGCAGCAGCAGGGGTCAGCCTGTGGTAGCAGCTCCCTCCACCCACTCAGAAGCTTCTGGAAGTGTGCTGGTAGGACGATGGCAGGTTCTTCTCTCCACCCCTGGTAACCACACATGTGGGACCCTGAACACAGTATCCACTCAGTAAGTGCCTCTGTACAGAATTAGTCAAGCTAGTAGGGTGGCTATCAAATGCTGAGGTGTGGTTAACTCACAGCTCCTCATTCTGTCTTCCATCCACTCAATTTCTTAAGGTCCTTCTGTACGGCAGGCATTATGCAGATGCTAGAATTTGAACTGTAAGCAAGATGGACACAGTTCCTGCCCTCACAGGGGTTGCAGTTTGGTGATAGAGGCAAATAATTAGCAAAAGCCACACACATGTCAACTCACAGGATGGAGAGATTGCAGCAAGGGAAAGCATAGGGTAAGAAGCCAAAGATGCCCAAGACGAAGCCTGAAGAGCTCCCATAACTAGGAGTTGGATGCAGGAGGCTGGAGCAGGCTGGCCTGATACCTCCCTTTCTTTCTCAGAATAAGTACCAGGGCTTTGTGTTTGACATCGTGACCAGGCAAGCTTTTGATATCATCATCATGGTCCTCATTTGCCTCAACATGATCACCATGATGGTGGAGACGGATGAGCAGAGTGACGAGAAGACAAAGATCCTGGGCAGAATCAACCAGTTCTTCGTGGCCGTCTTCACGGGCGAGTGTGTAATGAAGATGTTCGCCCTGCGGCAGTACTACTTCACCAATGGCTGGAATGTGTTTGACTTCATCGTGGTGATCCTGTCCATTGGGAGTGAGTGGCAACCGTGTACTGGGGGAGCCTCGTGGGGTTGATCAGCAGCTCTCTCTTTTCAAACCAAGGAAAGAGCCAACTCACTTTTAAAAAACTCTGTGTGTGTGTGTGTGTGTGTGTGTGTGTGTGTGTGTGTGTGTGTGTGTGTGCAGGTGCATGTGTGCCATGGTGTACACGTGGGGGTCAGAGGACTCCTCTGGTGTCAGCCCTCACCTTCCACATCCTTTGATCCAGAGTCTCTGTCGTCCTCTGCTTTGCACACCAGGCTAGCCCCCAAGCTTCTGGTGATTCTCCTGTCTCTGCCTCCCATCTTGCTGTAATCGCACTGGGATTGGATTACAGACACATGCTCCCATACCCTGCTTTGTAGGGCCTTACCCACTGGGCCATTTCCCCAGCCTCAACTTGCTTTTTCAACACACATGGTACAGGTCAGAAGAGCCCTATATGTATAGTCTTCCAAAGGCAGCAGACGTTAAATGCCCCAGGATGTTCTCAAAAAAAGAAGACTTTTGGTGGGCTTCGCTGTTATCATGAGTGACAGAAAAGTGAGGGACTCAATTCAATGAGATCAAAGTTGTAAAGACACTGTGTGCTGTTGAAGGCACTATATTTTGGGTGCAGTGGTGTCTAGAGTCAGAATCTGGTGTGATAAATGGAGCTGACTACTTACTGAGTTCTGAGCACTGGTGCCACAGATCAGCAGCCCTTTGACGGAGATGTCATTGACCTTATATAAATAAAATGGAACCTCTGAGATTAGGAATATTACCAGGGTAACGGAGTCTGCAGGAGGCAGATCTGAACTTAGACGAGCCTGTGTTCTACTAACTAGCTCCCTCCCACCAACAACCCGAGACTGGCTATATTAGTTACTCTTCCAACGGCTGTGAACAAACACCTGACAAGCCGTTTAAGAGGAAATGACTGCTTTAGACTCATGATTTAAGAAGGAATGCAGCCATTGTGGTAGAGCGACCCTGCAGCAATAGCATGAGGTGTGTGGTCAGAGTGTGTCCCCAGTCAGGAAGCAGAGAACAATGGATGCTGGGGCACAGCTCCCCTTCTCCTTCTCATTCAGTCCAGGACCCCAGTCCATGGGATGGTATCACCTACATTTAGGGTTGCTCTAAAAGCTAAACTTTTCAGGAGTGTCCTGAGACATGCTCTGAACTGTGTCTAGGTTATTCTAAATTCAGTCAAGTTAACAACTAAGACTGTCACATCGTCCCTGGACTAGTGGTTTAACTGATGCTTGACTCTTAACCGGACACATCCTGATTCACCAACTTTGAGTTGAATGCATTGAATCATAAATACATCTTTGTCAGTTATATTCTGGCCTACGTACTTCTCCTGTTAGAGCGCAGCTGTGGGTTTAACTTTCCATTGATTTACTACCAAGAGCTAATGGCATCTAGATAAAACTGTCAGCATTTCATCCCTCGCCCTACCCTCATGGCAAAACAGAGGCTTGGGTTGCATTTATTTGTTTGAGGTTTTAATCTAGCTTTGCTTTATCTTGGAATTGCTGCTGGATTGCTGTTGGGTTTTCTAAAACATCTTTGAGTTAAGATTGACATACCAAAAAAAATACTACATGAACTTAATATATACAACTTGTCAGGCTTGGAGATTTGTATATCCATGAAAGCATTTCCACTGTCAACACTATAAACATAGCCTTTGCCTCTGTAAGTCTAACTAACCAGTTCACTAGTTAGTTAGTGCTGAGATCTACCCTATTAGCTGGATGTGGTGTTGCATGCCTATAACCCAAGCACTTGAGATACTGAGGCAGGAGAAATATTGTGAATTTGAGATCAGCCTGGGCTATAATGAGTTCAAGACCAGCCTTGGCTATAGAGTGAGACTTTCTCAAAAAATCAAGCAGATGGTAAGAAACAAAAGGGGATTGAGGAAGATCTTTCCTCTATGGCTTCTGTGACTTGGCATAACAAGTTTCTGCTGTTGATTGGCTGGAGAGTTTTGGTTTTCATTTGTGTGTTTTGTTTCATCTATCTTTCAAAGTAAGAGATTCACAAGGACATTTTGGTAAGAGCTTGCTTGTCTGACTACCCACATCAACAATACAGAAAGACCACGTGTCCTGTGGCCCTGTGATGAGGGTTTCTAACCAACCGTTCCTGGTTCCCTCATAGCAGCCCCGTCCACTGGGCAGGGATCCCTTATAGATGCGCATGGGAAACCACCTGAAGAGACCACCTGTCTATCTTTCCTCTTTTCCTCCCATTCCCCCTTCCCACCAGAAAGACATTTATTGTTGCAAGTTATGAATTCCTTCTCTTTTGAACAACCCTGGGAAAACTAAAGACACATACATTTCACATATATGATCTCACAGTAGATATTATAGATATAAACATGATGTATATATGATCTCATATTAGATGTCACAGGTGCACACATGATGATACATGATCTCATATTAGATGTCACGGATGCATACTGCTTTTCTGGAAGGAGTAGACTTTAAGAGTTTTCACAAAGAGTTTGTAATCCAGACATATCCATGATCTCCTATTAGATGTCATATAGAGGTATATGCATTCTTCACCTTTCTTCCTTCTTATGGCTAGCATTAGGGGACATAACTGACCCTGAAAAATCCTGTCTCCAGACCCTGACATGGAGTTCAAGTACAGCTGGAAATGAAAGAGATAAATGAAATCCATTGTGCAGACAGCTGGCCATTCAGAACCATTCTTCTTTATCTGTCAGCAAGTGGGCCAACTGCTAGCCTGCCTTATAATTAATGCGAGTTCCATACAATCATCTGTGGGACCGTGTGCCAGGAACTGAGTCAGTCTTCACAGGAGGGGATGGGGAGATGAATCACAGGGGGCCTGGCCTACCCGCAGCACAGAACCAGGGTGGGGAAATGGGTATGGTGGGCTATGTCCTGCTGGAAGCAAAGCATTGTGGGCATGTGGAACAGACTACAGTCACTTCCAGCTGAACTTGGCTGTGGAAGAGAGAGGGTTGTTTATTATGATGATTAACACATATTAATTGAACAAATTAATGGGATTCACTGTGATATTCCCACACATGCATGCATGGTTGTTGAAGAAGACAGGGTTTTAACCATAGAGGCTGACTAATAAGATGTTCTGGGTAGGGAGAAAGATAAGAACATAGTAGAAAGGTCAAAAAGCAACCTGAAGGAGGGCTGGCTACCGCAATCGACAGTTGCTGACAAGCAGGTCAGGCTAAGGCACAGACTCCTTGAATATGGATGCCTATACTGAGAAAAGAAGAGGAAATGTGATCATAGCCAACTTAATCAGAGCTCATGGTTTCAGACACTAATTAGATAATTTTCCACCCTGTTTCACAGGTCTGTTGTTTTCTGCAATTCTTAAGTCACTTGAAAATTACTTCTCCCCTACGCTCTTCCGGGTCATCCGTCTGGCCAGAATTGGCCGCATCCTCAGGCTGATCCGGGCAGCCAAGGGAATCCGAACACTGCTCTTTGCCCTCATGATGTCCCTGCCTGCCCTCTTCAACATCGGCCTCCTGCTCTTCCTCGTCATGTTCATCTACTCCATCTTCGGCATGGCCAGCTTTGCCAATGTTGTAGAAGAGGCTGGCATCGACGACATGTTCAACTTCCAGACCTTTGGCAACAGCATGCTGTGCCTTTTCCAGATCACCACATCAGCCGGCTGGGATGGCCTCCTCAGCCCCATCCTCAACACGGGCCCCCCATACTGCGACCCCAACCTGAGCAACAACAGTACCTCCAAGGGGAACTGTGGGAGCCCAGCAGTGGGCATCATCTTCTTCACCACCTACATCATCATCTCCTTCCTCATCGTGGTCAACATGTACATCGCGGTGATTCTGGAGAACTTCAATGTGGCCACAGAGGAGAGCACAGAGCCCCTGAGTGAGGACGACTTTGACATGTTCTATGAGACCTGGGAGAAGTTTGACCCAGAGGCCACCCAGTTCATTGCCTTTTCTGCCCTCTCAGATTTTGCAGACACACTCTCTGGCCCTCTTAGAATCCCAAAACCCAATCAGAATATATTAATCCAGATGGACCTGCCATTGGTCCCTGGAGATAAGATCCACTGTTTGGACATCCTTTTTGCCTTCACAAAGAATGTCTTGGGAGAATCTGGAGAGTTGGATTCTCTGAAGACTAATATGGAAGAGAAATTTATGGCAACTAACCTTTCCAAAGCCTCCTACGAACCAATAGCAACCACCCTCCGGTGGAAGCAGGAAGACATCTCAGCCACTGTCATTCAAAAGGCCTATCGGAGCTATGTGTTACAACGCTCCTTGACGCTCTCCAACCCCCTGAGAGTGCCCAGGGCTGAGGAGGATGACGCGCCACTCCCTGGTGAAGGCTATGTCACATTCATGGCAAATGACAGCTGCGGGCTCCCAGACAAATCAGAAACTGCTTCTGCCACATCGTTTCCACCATCCTATGACAGTGTCACCAGGGGCCTGAGTGACAGGGTCAACATTAGCATATCCAGCTCAATGCACAATGAAGATGAAGTCACCAGTAAGGAGGGGGACAGCCCTGGACCTCAGTGAGGACACTCCAGCATGCACAGGGCAGGTTTAAATATCGTCCTCTGCTGTGGCCTCTTTCCCTCAAGAGGTGGTACTTATCTACGGCCTTACCCATGCATGCCACTGGTCACTGTGCCAGAGCGGAGTGGGGACATCCTTGAGAAAGCCTCCATACCAATAGGAATCAAAAGACAAGGATACATCTCCACTTTGAAGTCTCTTCTGAATTTCCAGAAAATGTCACTGCTCCATTTATTTTGGTTGTGACTAGAGATATGATTTCCCATGACCAACTTCTCAGAACCAGAACTTCTAGAGACATGTGGCAAGGACATTTCAGATGGTCTCGGGTAGTCTTAGAGAAGCACAAAAGGAGGGCATTGCTAATTCGGGTTTGCATGACTGCATGCTCACAGCCTATGGACAGCACCTGTGAGACAGCCATTAAAATGAATATTTTTTAAAGGTATGGCAAGAGTAACATATCTTTTGTGTGTGTGTGTGTGTGTGTGTGTGTGTGTGTGTGTGTGTGTGTGTACACACGTACATGTGCATTTGGAGGTCAGAGGTCAATCTGATATCATTCCTCAGGCACTTTTTGAGATGGAGTCTCTCACTGGCCTGGATGAAGTCTCTCCATATAAGTTTGGCTGGCTAGGCAACAGATCTACCTACCTCTGCATTCCCAGCTCTGAGATTACATGTGCACTCTCTGAATGCCTGGTATTTTTACATATGTCACGGGGTCAAATTTAAGTCCTCATGCTTGCTTGCAAACTGAGATAACTCCCCAGGCCCCTAGCATTGTATCTTAAAGTATCGCTTTGTTTGTCTTCTTAATTGTGCGACACTAACATGTGCCATGAGCTGCTTCTCCCCTCACTTCAGGGCCCCTGATGGATTGCAGTCAGAACTGGAAGATGGCTGCCACCAGAGGAAGCCCTGTCCTAGAGCTGCAGAGCCTAGTTCTAACTTCTAAACTTTTTTTCAGATATACATGTATATGGGGGAGATGTACATGTGAGGACAGATGCAGAGGCCAGAGAGGCATTGGATCCCCTGGAGCTGGAGTTACAGATGTTTGTGAGCTGCCTGATACAGATGCTGGGAAGCAAATTCAAGCCTCTGCAAGAGCAGCAAGTGCTCTTAGCCACTGAGCATCTCTCCAGCCCTCTTCACCGATTGCCATGCTAGCTATGCTAAGACCTTTCCCTTTGAACCTCAGTTTCCCCACTTGTAACGTTTGTAGGTGAAGGAAACAGACTAGAAACTTTGTATGGCTCTCAACTACCATGTTTAAATCTTGGTGGTGCTCTGACCCTTTAGATGGGGAAGACAGCATTGCATGTCCAAGATGACCAAGGCAGATTTTGTCTACATTGCAGATTCAGTTTCCTGTCTCAGAACTTTAAGAAGGACATCATTGTCCCATGGGGCCAAGAATCCATAATTAGTATAATTAAAAGCAAATGACTATTTTGAGAAAAAATCTAATAGATAAAAGATTGTGGCCAGTAGGTTTTATCCATCCAACAAATATTTTTAAGTTCCTATTGTATGGCAATCATTTCTCTAAGGACAAGAAATGAAATGAGCCCCATAGATGAAGTGAAGCTCATATGGTGTGCATCCTGGTTAGTTTTTGTTGTCAATTTGACACAACCAAGAGTACCCAGGAAGAGGGAGCCTTAATTGAGGGATTGCCCAGATCAGACTGACCTGTGGTCATGTCTGTGGAGATTGGCATTGATTGACAGTTCATGTCTAAGAGCCCCACCCAGCCCACTGTGGGCAGTGTTGTCACTGGGCAGGTGGTCCTGGGTTAGCATGAGTCAGGGGGCAATCGAGCAGGAAGCACAGCTCCTTGGTCCCGCTTCAGTCCCTGCCTCCTGGCCCTGCCTTGGCTTCCCTCGATAAGGGACTACAATCTGTAAGCCAGCAAACCCTTGCTCCCCAAGCTGTTGGTCATGGTGCGTATCACCCCAGGAGCATCCGAGGACAGTGGGTGAGTCGCTGCTCTTGTTGCTACGACAGAACTCCTGACAGAAGCCACTGGAGGGAGAGTTACTTTGGGCTCACATTTTTAGAGCACAGCGTTCTTCCTGGTGAAGGACATGACCACAGGAGCAGCAGTTGACGGGTCACATCATGTCACAGTCATGAAGCAGAGAGATGAATGCTGGGGCCCAGCTGAGTTTCCCCCACGAGGTGATGTTGTCCACACTTGGGGCACGTCTTCCCAGCTAAACTCCTCTAGAAACATCCTCACAGGCACATTCAGAGGTGAGTTTCTATGACGACTCTCATTCCTGTCAAGCTGACAACGGAGAGGAGCCATCACATGACTGCATAGGACATAAGGAATCTTAGTGGCGATTGTCATCTTCTGTCAACTTTTGAGACATCCCCAGCAATAACTGAAAAGTTTGGGTCAATTCACTGGCTGTGTGTTGAATGGGAAGATTTTCTGTTGGTATAGTCACAAAGCTCAGAGGTTCTCACAGTTACAAATCCCTTCTTTCTCTGTCACTGTTGGCCTATCAGTGGCCAAAACATTCCAAGGTACCTGTTGGGGTCTGCCAGCATCCACAGATGCATGATGGCAAGGCAATGGTGGAGTCGTGGAGGGTCTTAGCCAGACTCTCTCTCTGGACACATCTGAAAGATGTATCCAACCCAACGGCACTCACTCCCTGGTCCCACTGATCAAGGAACATAGATACTGACTACGTGGGACTCTATCAACATCTCAATCTCATGCAGTCAAGGCAGAAGCTATCTGAAATTATATTCACACAAGTGTTTACAAGACAGCTGGGTAGACAGACAGCCTGGGGACTGGTTTATTTTTACAGTGTGATGTGAAGAAATTAGAAGTTGCAGAATATCGGCCTGAAGAAATGGCTCAGCCATTAAAGGCTAGGCTCACAAGCAAAAATATAAGAAGTTCCCAAATCTCAGACGGGATTTTACAAAACAGATGATGTTATTCTCAAAGGTATTTGGTCTAGTTTGTTTCTCTGTTGCTATAAAACACTGATCAAAAAAGCTTTTTCATCTTACACTTTAGAGTCCATCGTCAAGGGAAGTCAAGGCAGAAACTCAGCCTGGAAGCAAGAACTGAAGCAGAGACCGTGATCGGAACTCTGCTTCCTGGGTTGCTCAGCTACCTTCCTTATATAACCCAGGGCACCTGCTCAGGCATGCCACCACCCACACTGGGCGGAGCCTCCTTACACTAACTGCCAATCAAAAAGGCGCCTCATGAACATGGCCACAGGCTAGTCTTATGAAGGCAACTTCTCATTTGAGATTCCTTCTTCCCAGGTGTGTCAAGTGGACAACTGACACCAACTAGGACAGTATTTCTTATCCTACCTGCTGCCCCAGTTTGTCGATTGAATTGTGTAGTCCCAAAAGATCTGTTGAGATCCTAACCGGTTTTATTTGGAAGTGGGTTCTTCGCAGGGATAACCATACCAAGATGAAACCATTATCATGGTAGGCCCTCATCTTGTGGCCGGTATTTCGATAGGAGGAAGATTTAGACATCCATTGGGGGAGAATGCCGTGGGACAGCGCACATGCAAAGAAAACACCACGTGAAGACAGATCCGGCTGCTACCAAAGGAATGTAAAAATTTGCTGATGTTTCTCAGAAGCCAGGGGAAGATGAGGGAGAAGATGAGGGAGACAAGGGTTGTCCCCTAGACACCAGAGAGAGCATCGCATATCCAATGCCTTAGTTTTAGATGTCTTGTGTGGTGGTATTGTGTTCCCCAAAATATTGTGTACCTTAATAAACTTATCTGGGGTCAGAGAACAGAAAAGCCACAAGATACTTAGGCTAGAAAATGTTAGCACACGCCTTTAATCCTAGCATTCCAGAGACAGAAATCCATCTGGATCTCTGTGAGTTTAAGGCCGCATTGGAAACAGCCAGGCATGGTGACTCATCACGCCTTTAATCCCAGAAAGCAGCCTTTAATTCCAGGGAATGGTAGTAGAAAGCAGAAAGGTTTATAAGGCGTGAGGACCAGAAACTAGCAACATTTGGCCTGGTTAAGCATTTGGCCTGGTTAAGCATTTGGCTGGTTAAGCATTTGGCCTGGTTAAGCATTTGGCCTCATTAAGCATTTGGCTGGTTAAGCATTTGGCTGGTTAAGCTTTCAGGCTTTCTAGCAGCAGTTCAGCTGAGAGCCATTTGGATATGAGGACACAGAGGCTTCCAGTCTGAGGAAACAAGACCAGCCGAGAAGTTGGCCAGGTGAGGTGGCTGTGGCCTGTTCTGTCTCTCTGACCTTCCAGTATTCACCCCAATAACTGGCCTCGGATTTGATTTTATTAGTAAGAACTTTTAAGATTCATGCTACAGTCTTGCCTCCAGAAATGTAAGGGAATGCATTTTTGTTCTTTAAGCCACCTAACCTGTGGTAATTTGTTACAGTATACCTAGAAAACTAATACACCCTGTGGTTTTTCTACATAGAGGCATTTGTCAAGTTTCAGTGGGAATCATTAGAAAAGGGATGTAGCGTGGACCTCATTCCTCATAGTTTTCAGAAATGTGCTCAATGCAAATGCAAGATCATCTCTTTAAAGTTTCACTACATGTTCGGACAAGCAAGATGGCTCAGTGGGGTAAAAGCGCTTGCTGCCAAACCCGACAACCTGAGTTGGATTCCCAGGACCTACGTGGTGGAAAGAGAGAACTGACTCCCACTGGGTGTCCTCTAACCTCCACATGTGCGCTGTGGCACGTGCACTCTGACCCCAACACACTCAAAATAAATAACTAGTTTTTAAACTGCCACTCAATCCACTTCTAAAGTTTTCCTAGTGGCCTCATTACAAGAAAGGAGTTCGTCTTCCAGAGGAGTGGATGTGAAAAGTGTAGACACAAGGAAATCATCTCCCACACACCCCTCGGGAGACGGGAGAATCCTGCGACACTGGAGGGAGATTAGACGCAGAACAATGGCGCCAACTGTGCAAATATCCAGAATGTGCGTTTTCCTTAATACTGCTTCTTCCAGTGAGGCTCTCGCTCTAGTCGGAGAAGCTGGCTCTCACGGCTGGTGAAGACCACCAAAGAAGTCCACAGCTGGTCAAAACTCAGAGAACAGCTGCCTGTGGGTTGCCCAGTCCCAACTGATCCATCTACAGCACGGCCCCTATACCTACAGCTCGGGGGATCTCTCAGAAGAGGAAGTGGAAAACTACTAAGAGCCTGACAACCAGGACATCTCAAAAACAGGGCTGCCTAAGCAAGACTTACATAATGACAACACCAGTTGACATGTCCATGGGAATGGTTCCACCCCTAGATGAAGAGCTACAGGCAATTAATGGCTGTGGGGGCGAGGGAGAATCAGTCTTTTCCAGGACCAGCTCTTTGGTAGGTATCCAATCCCAAGTAGTCAGCCCTGAAAACACATGTATACAGACAACAGGGAGAGGACTTG